TCGGGCTCCAGGGGGAGTGGGCAGAAGTTCCATGGGGAGGCTTTTATTGGGGGCTCTGCCTGCAGCCGTGCCCTGCCCTCCCTGCCGGAGAGGCACGGGGAGCTGACTGAGATTTTTCTCCTCCCGCTGCTTCCGGCGGGTGAGGAGGGAGGAGATTCGCTCCTTGGGGTCCCCTTGTTGCCAAGGGGTAGCGTTTGACCTGGCGGCGTTTCACGCCAAGGTGTTTGGGAAAGGATTAAAATGAAAAAAAAAAAGACAAATAAAAAAAAAGACAGTGAAAACATGGAACAGTGGACGCATGCCCTTCTGGAGTGAAACTTAATCGCCTGTGGCTCTGCAGCTATTTTCACCAGAGTAGTAAGAGGAGAATGTGTTTGGGGGGGGAGGGAGGCGCTTTTCCAAGGACACATTTGTTTCACTCGTGTGTAACCAGGTTCGTGAGGGGGTTCGCTCCCCTGGGGCTGTCCTGGTTCCTGCAGAGCTGTTTCTGCTGAGGCGTTGGGCGAGGTGATTTACAGGCGATTGGATGAGCGAGACCTCTTTGGAGGACCAGGCTGAGGTGAGCACCGTGTGTGTGACCCTCAGCTTTGGGAACTGCTTCTGCACTTGGGAAGACGTCAGCCCCCAGTTTATGTTCAGGGAGCTGCCTGGAGAGGCTCGTGTGGGAGCTTGCGACGGCGTGTCCCAGCCCTGTTCCGTGGGGCGAGGGGGAAGGTCAGCAGCAGCAGCGCTGGGTGTTGGCTGGCGGAACCCCCGGCTCCCAAATCCCCTGAACCTGTCCCACACTTCACCGACACAGCCCGGCAGCACTACTGTGCCCCTACAGCTGGCTGAGCTCTTGCCTGGGACATGAGGTCCCTGTGGTGTGAGTGGCTCCCGCCACGTGGAAGTGCTGCTGGGCAGCCCGTTCCCCAGCCCTGCTGGCCAAGCCCAGCCTCAGGGTGATGATGGCCAGGTGCTGCCGTGCTCCTGTCATGGAGGTGAGCACTGGACACTGGAATGGCCATATGGATCATTTTGACTTGGATTTCAGGTGCACAGGGACGTTTAGCAATTTTTCCCAGGAAACTTCTACTTTTTCATAGGTTTCTTTGTGCACCTTTGGTAGCCTCCATCAGACTGTGAGTGCTGCTGCTGTATAATTTCCCAGGAATAAGGATTTTGAGAATCAAGTTTTTAAGGTTTTTCAATATTCAGCCTGGTCTGCCTGCTGCTCTAAAAACCAAAAGCTATCTGTCATGACTTGTGCTATGATTTATGTATCTTGCAGGAGGAAGATTTGTTTCACTTGTCCTGAGCGGCCGAAGATGTGGCAGCCCTGGAGCACAGCGCTGGCCTCTCGTCACCCAGTGATCCGTGCAGCACAATGTTTTTTATTGCTGGGATCCGTGCTCTCCGTCTGATAACCTGGGAGCAATAGAGGGAGTGATGCCGCGTGCGAATGATCATTTGCCTGTGATGCACGGTCAGTGAGGGTGGTCTCACAAGCGTGTAAGAGCAGAGCTGCCCAGCGCGTGTCTCTGCCCGCTGGAGCTACGCAACCGCCCTGTGCTGTCGCCTGGGGGATTTGCTGGGCGGGTGGGGTGCGGTGGGAGAGCAGAGGCACGGGGGTGCTCAGCTCTACGTGAAGCCAAGTGATGCTCACTAAGCACTGGCGTAGTTTACGGTCTGAGGAAACACCGTTTGTGTTTTGTCAGACGAAGGGTTTGTCTCTTGGCAAACTACTGGATTTTTTTCCTGGCTTTTGTGGATTTTTCATAGTGTCATCACGTGCTAACGGAGGGAGCGTGCTCTGATGGGGCGCGTGGACGCTGCTCAGTCGCAGGAAAGCTCCTAACTGGAGGCTCCCACAGCGCCACACCTCGGGGCCGTTGGGAGGGGCTGTCCAGGGCTGCACAGTCACACAGGCAAATCAACATTCTGCTGAGTGTGGATGGGGAGCCGCGGGGAGAAAAATCCTGGGACAGTATGGACGAGGTGTCGTGCCCCAGTCAGGAGCCACTTCCTTCCACCATGTGAAGGTAGAACTGCTTGCTGCCATATAAAATGGCCCTAATAAGAATGATTTCATGGGTTTATTGTTTGGGACCCCTGCAACTATCCTAACAAAGATACTAACTGGAGGTGTCTACTATGCTTGGCAGATTACAACAGAAATGGGCTTTGCACGATCCTGAAGAGGAGAGAAGCAAGGAGGTTCATTGCGCTTTATTCTCTAACTCTGGTTTTCTTCTCTTCCTCTACTCTGAAGACAGCTGTTATATTCTCTACCCTTCATGCTGTTGAAAATGCCTTGAAAAACACACGTATCCGGCATATGGAGAATACTGTACCTCTCCTTTCTGTCCTCACAGGCTCGGTTTAAACGGGCCTTCTTTGGCTTCTGCTCAAGTCATGAGTTAAACGTACCTTAGCTGGTACAATAAACTAGCTTGGGCGCCACTGAAAACATTTTGTTAGAATGCTCTGAGATTTGAGATATTATTGTGCTCTTATTTCTACTGAACCCACGTTACTACAGATGAGATCAATTCAGTATCATTAAACCCCCTCTCCTCCTGTTTGAATAGTGATCCGGATCACACACAACCTGCCTTGAAAGAGATCAGAACTCTTCAACTGAACTGCACCTAAAAATCATTATCTTACGGTTCAGGAAAAAATCTTCAGGCCTGACTGCACAGGTAACCCCACAGAAACAAATGACTGGCGTTTGGGTCTTAATTGCTGTGTAACCTGAGTTTATTGTGCACGCACGTGTTTAAGGATCTTTTTCAGCTAAAGTCTAATCTCTTTGTAAATTTATCCTCAAATCATTAACCCAGCCGGGCCGCTCAAGGACTCTTTCTGCTGACACAAGCAAGCCAGTCATCATTCGCACGCAGTCCCCTTACTTCACGGGCTCTCCTGCCTGGCTACCACGCAGGCGAGTGCCCGCAAGCTCTGCACAGTCCTTTCAAAAGATAAGTCACTGTTCACCATGTTTGCTGAGATAGAAATGGCCTCTGTTCCTGTTTCCACGTTACCTCTGCAGAGAGCAGCAAGATGCTTTATGTTGGATTGCTTGCAACCTGTTACCAGTCACCTGTTTCTTCCCCTTTACTCTGCACTCACGCCTAAAGGTTAGGAACCCTCCCCTTTATTGAAAGGAAACAGGTAACACTACTTGATGTACATTCACATTTCTTCACACTGTTTCCCAAGCATCAGATGCACTTGTACAAATTGCCCAAAGATCTAAAACCATACTGAGAAAACAAGTAAAACCTCCCCAGGAAAGAGGTACAAAGGTTAAAAAAAAAAAAACCCACAACACTACCACAGCAGTTTTATATAAAATGCTTGGAAGCGTTAATTTGGTAAAATATCCCATGTCGAGACATGCTCCAGTACCTAAGTCTATGATTTACTTAAGTATCATTTACTGAAATGATTAATTCAAACACATGGTCATGGTAAATTTTAACCTCTGCAGTAATTTCCTTGCCTATCAGGTACTGGAATGCTAAAACCATTCAGGATGGATACAAAGTTCTGACCTAGAGTTTTACTGTGCTGAGCTGTATGCACAGATCAGTTAAGCTTGCCGTGTTATGAAGGCCCAACGAAACAGTTTCCTTCATTTTTCTTTTATTAAAAGATTGCATATTAGATGCCATTTTAAGAAGTCCAAACCTTTCCTAACACCTGGAATTCATAAATGGCTATTAAAAGAAAGCACAATACGGAGATTTTAAAGCAAGAATCAGAAGGAAGAAGATTATTTCATTTATGAACACTGTGCTTGAAGTCTAGGGTTTGAGCTTGATCCTGTTATTCAGGGAGGGGGTGGTAGTAGACCTTTCAGAAGGGTCTCACTTTGTATGTCGTACCAGTTGTACTGGAGGATAATGAAGTTTGTACTGGTGCTGAGCCATCCGCTGCTTAACAGTTGGGAATCCTAAAAGACCAGGACGCTGCGAATACTGCAATATAAAATGGCAGGTTAGTGACTGCAGGAAAGCCCCTGGGCTAACATCAGCAAAACGCTGCTGTTTTCTCTGAAAACCTGGGCTACCACTGTCAGCCAGGGTACTCCCTCCCTGCCCCCCCAGCCCCAGCTTGCAGCAGAATGACAGAGCAGATGCGCAAACCTTGCTGCAGATGCAGAGAACAAAATTTGTGCAAGACCGCAAAGCCTTCACTTGTGAAGCCCAGGGCTCCAAAAATCACCAAATACAGCCTGGGAAGCCCTTGGAGGGGGCTTAGGCATGCCTTTGCAGTTACACACGGCTCTAAGGGTAACCTCTGATTGCTACAGCTATTCGGGGCTGAAACACAAAGCGTTTCACGTAGTAAAAATGGTCGGCTGCAACATGCCTGTCTTCAGGCTGACTGTCAGTGTTTTAGCAAAGCCGATGGCATCTCTGTCCTCACCACTTTCCCCTGTTTGTTAAACAAAAATCTAAAACTAACATTTATAGCACATCTAAAATAAGGACAGCCAAAAAGTGAAGTGCGTGCTGCACAGCCAGAACCTGAGAACAAACCTCGGGGCTAAATTCTTCTGTTACTTGCTTTTTGTATTTAGATCAAATAACACCCAAAATAACAGCTAGCAATCGACAATGAAAATAAAACATTAATGTGATTCTCCAGACAGCTAGAACTTTCAAAAAGGGTAGTCCCCACACATGCTGAGATACACAAATCTATCTCCCACTTCTGCCAAGGCGAATTTTCAATTATTCCCATGGTAAATCTTGACAGATGTCTCTGGCAAACAATATTTCCGATTTCAACACCCTATGAAAACAGAGTCTGAGCTGAACTCTCACAATATTTGAGAAATGCATGAGAGCAATGTACATATACCCCAAGTACTTTCCTTTTTGAAAAGCTCTGAAGTTCAAGATAGACTACGCGGTGACTTCAGGACTAATAGCACTGGGACTGTCCCCTAACTCACAAGAGGAACGGTGAGTTGGGCTCTTTCTGTGCTCCTGCTCCTCATCTTAAAAAGCTTCTTGGAACGCGATGTAGCTGACCCCTGGCACTCTACAGCTTGGCCCTCCCAGGCTCCCTTTGTTGTGTGCTCTTTCCCGATGGGCAGCGGGCAGGGACTTCCCCATTTCTGCTGTCTTTTCTCCTGCTTTGCTCCAGCTGGAATCTGAAGGTTCCTCTGCGAGGAGCGACAGGGCCCACGGCATTTCAATAGCTAAAGCTTTACTACAGCTGCAACCCATGGGCAGGCGCTGGGGGAGGCGAGGGGGCACGGGGGGTTGCCTTCCCCATTCTCTGCTGTGAAGTCATACTCTGTGTTATTGTACAGCTCCTTTCGGCTATGTGTATAGAACCTTTACAATTAAACAACGTTTACCTCTTCCCTGTCCTTAGCAGATCAAATCCTTCATTGATTTTAGTGAAAGGAAGTGTGTGAGTAATTAATGGATCCAGAACAAATTTTTTCTTCATGTAGTCAGCAACCAATTTGGGGACTGAATCTTTACTCTTCCAGCCTGAAAAAACCCACAGACAATGGATAATGAAACATTAAACGCTTGTGAAAAACAGATAAAACTCATGGCAGCTTAAATTTTTAGATAAACTTTCTATAGCAGAACAGCGTGATGAAATGTTGCAGCGTGTCTTCACCTTTCTAACAGAGAGTGCCAGCAGGAAACACAGGATGAAGTGCGGCTATTCTGCGTATGACGAACCCAGGTAAGTGCTTTACTGCTCGAAGGCCAGTAGACATTTGAATCTTCACAGAATCCAAACTTTCCCCCACATTAAACACTGTTTCAACTTGTCTGTTGATAAATTGTCCACTAAATCACACATCATACAAAAGCCAGAGTGCTGACATCCATGTTGGGAACTAGAAACTTGATTGCCTGGTCAAAACTGAGGGATGGGGGGGTGGATGCGTCTCTTTAATTACAAGCAGTACTAGATAAAGATGTCTCAAAGCGTAGGGTGCCCTTCCAGGGGAACTTAATTTGCCACTTTATTCAGGTGGCTGTCGAATACATCAGAGGAACTGGTTGTCAGTGAAAAAACCTGTTGTTGGAAACAAGTTTTCTGTGGCCTTCAGCTTTGTGCTGGGCGAGCTAGGGCTTGCTGAGCACAGGACCTTGCTGGGAGAGCTCAGAAAAGAGAAAGAACTGTGAGGGAGTGTGTGACCTAGGTAGAAATCAGATGGGTCTGACCCCCGATGTCCTTTAGGGCTCTGACTCTCCATCTCTCACTCTTTTTCTTTCCCTCTCTTTCTATCCCTCTCATTCTCCTTTTTGCTCTTGCTCTTCTTCTCCCCCTCCCTCTCTCCCCTCCTCCCCTGTATCTTTTCTTCATTTTCTCCCTTTGTCCTTTTCCCTTATCTTTCTCCTTTTCTTTCTCCTTAACTCTTTTTCTCTTCTCTATTTTTAATCTCTTCTCCTTCCTCCTTCCCCCCTCCTTTTCTTTCTCTCTTCTTCTACCTTTCTTTTTCTCTCTCCCTTTTCCCCTCATTTTCCCTCCTATTTTCTTTCTCGTCTTTCCTCCCCTTTTCTCTGTTTTTTGTCTTTTTATCTCCTCCTTTCTCTGCCTCTTCTTCTCTCTTCCTCCTTTGCTCTGTTTTTCTCTCTTCTTCTCTCACCTTAACTAACAGTTCCCATAATTAATTCCCTTTGTCAGCAAAACAGCTGTCAATACTACTTCCAACAGGACAACCTAAGCAATGAATTTAGATAATACCCCCTTTCATTCCAGATGACTTACAAGATTCCCAAGCCAGTTAAATCCCATCTTTCCAAGCCCTTACCTCCAAAGACGGACCCTTTCCAGGTGCGACCAGTGAAGAGGAGCATGGGGTCAAAAGTGATCTTTTGTGTTGCAGGGGGCACACCCACAATCACACTGACGCCGTAGTTGTATTGGCAACAGGCCAAGGCTGCAGCCTGCATACGAAACAGAGGGACACCCCAGAGTCACGCGAGATTTGCCACAGGGGCACAGAAGTTTGAGTGCCTGCTCCTCCTCTCAGGGCTCAGCTTGCAATTCATTTTTTGTAACTGAAACCACATCCAATGATCTCCATTGTATCTGCTCACACCATTGTATCTGCTGTCATGGGTTAGGTATGTCCTAGCTTGGTCCTCCTTCCCCATTTTGCCTTAGACGTTAGTGGTAGGCCGCTGTTGGAAAGTAGGCGGTGGGCTACGTGAAATGTAGCCACCCTGGTTAGGCCAGGGGACTACGCTGAGGTTCCCTTTCCTAAGTTTTTGAGCGCGCACCTGTCCCTGCATCTCAGTGGCAGGTAGCTGGACTTGAAGTTAGCTTGACTCTTTGCCAGTGGCTCTCAGCTCCTCTCCCTCAGTGCTTAGTGGGTTAGCGACGAGAGAGCTAACAAGCTATTGCCTCATTTGACCACACCCTTTGGTTGCGTACCATGGTTTCGGTATGGCCAATGACTTCAAAGGAGTAGTCCACACCACAGCCAGTCATTTCGATCAACACTTCATGAATAGGCTTCTTGAAATCTTTAGGGTTCACGCAGTCGGTGGCTCCCAGCTCCCTGGCCTTGGCAAACTTGTTGCTATTGATATCAACGGCAATGATGCGGGCAGCTCCAGCCGCCTTGCAGCCCATGACGACAGAGAGGCCGACTCCTCCGAGGCCGAAGATGGCACAGGTGGAGCCTGGTTCCACCTATAATAACCATATAAACATGGCATACCGTTACAGTCTAGGTAAGGTACAGTGCATTTTCTTATTACCAACATGTTTTCACTTAAGCCACTTCTTGTAACTTACTGAGAGATTATCTGCTGAGAAGGAATTCGCACATGCATACCTACTAGTGCAGCAGCCGGCTATACTGTTATAGTCCTACATGTGACTAAGATAAATTGTCCCTAAAATACATTTCTGAGACCAGGTTTTCATTACGCATCTGAGCTTCAGGTTTAGAGACCCGGTTTGTTTGGTTTCTTATGATGGTGTTAGGATCTGTAGTGTCACTCCACTGGAGACAGTTCCAGCTGTAAAAGTCACATCCATGTATTGCTACAAGTTATGAGTGTCTGCGTATACAGGCTTCCGTGTATTCCTAGACCTAGGTTACCATAAACCAAATCAGCTCTGTGGTAACATTTTTCTAGGGGTGATAAAGCTAGGAGAGAAAACAGATGGTAGTAAGGATTTTTACTGGATTTTGAACTGAAGACTTCAGAGTACCTTAGTGACAGAGGAGCTGAAGTAGGCAAAGAACTTTCCACCCTGAACTCAACAGACTCTATACCTCCTGGCAGCCAGGCTCATGACCCACTCGCAGGCCACGCGATCCTGAACAGACCCCATGAGATGCCAGAAGCCCCCACCACGATACTTTACCTTGGCAGTCTGCACAGCAGCCCCGTAACCGGTTGAAAATCCACAGCCAATGAGACAAACTTTTTCCAGAGGAGCAGCAGAATCGATTTTGGCTACAGAGGATTCATGCACTACTGTGTATTCAGTGAAGGTACTCGTACCAATAAAATGGTGAATTGCTTTTCCTTTACAGGTGAATCTCGTGGTGCCATCAGGCATTAATCCAGCACCTGAACCAATGCTGTTTGAAAGATGACCAGAAATAACGGCGAGTGAAACCCCTTGAATGTGATCAGTTTTGTATAAATAAAAATCAAATAAGGGTTGTAGGTAACCCTGGAAAACTCACTCGTTTTTCCTGCACAGATTACCCTTGGTGCTTAAGCAACTGCTGCACTCCCCACACTGTGGGACAAAGAGTGGAATAACCTTGTCTCCTAGAAATAAAACAGTCATGTCAGTGGATTAAAAAAGGCAAACGAGAAGCATGCAGTAAAAACATGAAGCAAGTCTATTTAATCCCTAGGCAAATGTGCGCTAGGAGTGCAGTGCTGGTTTTATTTCCTTCTGCTGCCCTTGGAAGGTAAACCATCTCTCTCTGTTACAAAGGACATCGTTAGGGCAAAGTTATGATAACTAATTTCAATATGAAAAATTCCTGGCGTCTTTCATAGAACCTGAGGTTTTTTTCTTTCATAGACATCTGAGCTGTGTCGTAAACCCGTGTTAGCTACTGACATGCCCAAAGTACTCATTCAGCAGTTTATTGCGTCTTCTACTTCAAAAGAAAATTGTAATACACAGGAAAAGAAACAGAGATAAAAACTGACATCCACTAGGACAGCAGACTGGAGTGCCAAGATAACAGGGCTGTAAACTCTGCATAGGAAGAATGGGAAATTAAACATTAATTTGCCAGCCCTCTTGAGTCGTGTTCCTATTTGCAGTCGTATTGCTGTTGCATTGGAGAACAGGTAGGTAAAACACTTGTCAGAGAAGCAGTGACACACACAAGCCAAGCCAACACCTCTAATTCGCTAGCACAATTAAGATGATTAACAAAGTAGCACGTAGCTTCCCAGTGCAATTTTTTACTGCTACACATTTTCCGTGGCAATGATGTATGGTAAATCCCTAATAATCTCTAAAGAATTAATCCCTAATACAGATCAATTTGTGATTTGGCAGTTCTAAAATGTGGCTAATCCTCAACATGTTGAAAGTCAGGGGAAAACTTTGTTTTCCACTAAAAAAAAGGGAAAATGCCTACAGAACATGGAATGCCCCCACTACCCTGACCCTCACTTAACTTAGAACTGTGACATGACATGGGCTTAGTAATCATTCCGCTAAGGGAAGTTTGCACATCTTGCAGCCGTTTTTAGAACTTGAAGGTATAAATTAAGCATCATCTGAGAAACATGATTTTGTGCAGGTGTGCACACTCAGGCCTGCTGTTTCAGCTTACCTGGAAACATGTGGCAGCTAGAATCCGACAACAGAGTGATTTATGAGCCCAGACGTAAGGGAAAAAAAGCAGTTAGAGCTATCACTGAAATCTGCAATATACACATTTGTTTGGAGATAAAGCAGAAATCTCTAATAACACTTTTTCTTGTCATAGGTACCAGCCTGCTTTGGGCAGACTGCATACTTGTTGCCAGTACAAACAAAGACACTGGAAGTACGGAGGTGTTAAAAATGAACTACTTAGGTATTGTATCAAACTGCCTGGATAAAATTGAGCATTCCTATGCAGATTTTGTTAACTGCATATTTTGTGTTAATAATTTAGCCTTCCTTAGAATTTGTTCACTCCTGTACAAGCGTATATAGAAACCCTGCCTCATCTTGCAGCAGCTGGACGAAATCAGCATCTTTCACTGGCTTCTCTGTCTACCCACCGTGGCTCAGGGAGTGCAGTGAGAGGAGCAGCCGGTCCCGGTAAGCGTCCTGAGAGCGACCCAGCCCTCAGTGAGCAGCCCTGACTCACCTGCCCTGGTGCTGCACACAAGCAGTAAAGTCATTGAACACACAGACCTAAATTCTGGTCTACTGAAGCCAATGGATTATTTAGCTGTTAGGAGAATTAAAAGAAGGTGCTTTCACGTGTTGTCTAGTGCCTTATTGCTTTGCTTTTTCTTGAGAGAGATTGGCTGTGTAAACTGTGCTTAAAGAACCTGCAGCTAATACCTGATCTCCTACGACCAACAGGAATGAATCTATGTTCTTAATCCCACGACAGGAAAAGCGGTAGGTAGGTGGAATGCAAGCTGCAGATGTTTTTGCCAAAACCAAAAGAAATGGAACAGAAAACCTGAAAATGAATTAGGATTGGGAACACAGAAAGATGTAAACAGCCCGTAGTGTCCTTTAAGGTATCCTTGAAAAAACCCCAAGCTGGAACATTTTCCTCTGCAGTACGAGTACTCACGCATGTAACCATCTTTGACCCAAGCAGGGGTCTGGAAACTCAGCACAGGGTTTGTGTTCAGCGCTGTTCCGTACCTGGTTTGATCGAAGTTACTCCCTGCCCAACACTCTCCACAATGCCAGCTGCTTCATGCCCAAGAATTATCGGAAAAGGCATAACCAGTCCACCAGTTGTCACGTGGTCATCAGAGCGACAGATCCCTGTGGCCACAACCTGATTTAGAGGAAAGACAAGAATATTTCAGTGTTTAAGTATGTCATGTCATATGCGGAACTGAAATGATGTCATCGATTTAGAGGAGTCGCTTGCTTCCCTCCAAAATCACATATGCACACAATAAATCTACAGGTAAAACGCTTTTGGTTGTGCACTTCGTGATTTTCATGGTTTGTGTTAGTCTTTAACCTACAAAGCCAGGCTCCTTTGTGAACGCTGGCTATGCACTGCTGAGCTCTCTAGGGAGTCTCACTGAGTATCTGGCAGGACCAATGTTCTAGCTATGCAGTTATGTATGAAGAACAGAATAAAATAAATTATTCCTAATATTTATGTGTAAATACATAAGAAGAAGGCTGGGATATTATAGAAATATTACAAAAGTATGCAAATATAAGTCAACTATCATATTATTTATAAACACAGAAATATTATGCATTTTATATTACTTATATTTAGATTATATTACAACATACCAGATAATAGGCATGTTATATAAAACATGTATCATACAGTGACATTCTATGTAATTACAGTATAATTCTTACATATTATTTATATATTTAAATATATGTATATGTTATATATACACACAAAAATTTAGGCTACACATAGTATTTTATATCACATTTTGCCTTTTCTTGCAGGTAGCACAGCAGTGTTTCTTTTGAAACATTCAGGTACGTCTTTACAACTTCTATTCCAACAGATGGAGTTGTCAACCCCAGGAGAGGGTTCTCCTCACTTGTGTAACACTTGCAACTGCTCTAAAATGGAAACAGCTGCTGAATTCCACTGAGAAAGTTCCTGAAATGTAATAGATGCTCAATGCCCAGTTACAAAAGGAAGCTCCCAGCCCTACTGAGCTATTTCCCAGCACAGATTCAAATAAAGCAAAAGAGAATTTCTTGCTCCACGCTATAGGAGATTCAGATTTTTGCCCTGTTACTGTAATTTTTCAGCCTATTAGAAGCACAGGTGTCTTAGTAAAGAAAAAACCCAACCCTGCTTTTTTTTTTTTTTTTTTTTTTAAAGGACCTCATGATCAAATTTAGGACTTGAAGCATGTTCCATAGGAGCTCACTGAATAGTAAGTACTAACGTAGTGAATGTTTTCCGACTGGATCCTAAAAACCTATAGAAATAATTCTGATAAACAGCAAGACAGAATGCGAGTCATAATAGTTGTTTAAATTTTATTTTTAGTACCTTTATGCGAACTTCATGTGCCTTTGGTGGGGCAACTTCCACCTCCTCAATAGAAAATGGTTTATTGGCTTCCCACATTACTGCTGCTTTGCATTTAATAACCTGCAAACAGAGCAAAGAAAAAGGGAATGGCACTTGCATTTCCAAGACAAATTCTTACGGTTCCGCATGTGAAACTCCTGCTCATATTTGGTGAGGGAGAGGGAAAACTATAGGAAAAAAAACCAAAACCAAACCTAAAACGGAACAAAAAAGCCAACACCAAAGCACAGTGTAAGCCCATTTTTTCCCCCCACCAAGATCACCTCTGTGTTCATATTTCTGTCATAGGAAGTTTTCAGCAGCACGTGTAACAGTCTCCTAGGGTAACTGGGTACCTCATCCATCCTCATTGCTCCTTCTCCGTTTCTAACGTCCTTGGAGGATTATTTTTGCCGTGTTGGATTACTGGTGTATATTTGGGTCTTCTTGGAGATGGCACATTAAATGAGGCCATATATCAGGTTGTGATAAAGTCTGTATCACCTAGAACTGCCCGTCTTGGGAACTGACGAAATTGCTAAAAATGGAATGCAGAGCTTAATACAGGTTTATAAACATTTTATTACAGCCTAAGGTCAGCCCTGAGGTGATGGCCGAGAGGACACCTATGTAAAATGATGTAGCAGTATGCAGAGGTAATCTTGAAGAAGCACGTTGTAATGTTTCTGGGAACAAAGGTAGCCGAGAACTGTCGATTGCTGAGAACAGATAAGTCTCTCCTACACTTAGGCATTGGTTAACTAGGTATTGTTCTGGTGGCTGCGTCCCTGTGAACTTTTACCGACTATAACAGGATCCCACGGACGCACCACCAGCACACTATCACCCATTTCATCTATTGAGGCAAGCACTAGCTGGAGTCAAGTTGGGTTTTTTTTTTCCGCTTGTGTGTTCTACCAGCCTTACAAGTTACTGCAGCAGGGGGAGGGAAGGTGTCAAAACGTACCCTTTTACAGAGCATAAGGATTACGCTGCTTGGTCACATAAACTGCATGGTAACTCACACATTACTCCAAGATAAACATAATGAAAACAAGGCAGTTCAGTTACATCACGCCACTTCATTTACCATGCTCAGTCCAAGGCTGGGTGGGAGGACTGAACTTGGTGAATTTACCTACAAGTGGGCTACAACTAATTTTTTTGCACTTGCGATATCTCAGGGTTAGAGAGCACATTGGGTTTTTTTCCCCTCTTGTTTTGTTTGGGTTTAAAATAGTGAAGGCAGCTGGCAGTAAGAGCAGACAATCCTGGTACTTTCTTAAGGGACATTCCAGCCAGGTACATGCCTTCAATCGTCTTCCATCTTGGGGTTTCTGTCCATCGACCTCTCTTGCATGTCTCTGGGTGTGTGTTAGCCTCTCTCAGGTAGCGCAAGAAGCGACACACACTGTCTTCAGCAGGGGGATTAACCTACATCTCTCTTGGTTCTTACTTTCTAGCAAAGATGTAAGTGCTCATTTCAGTCCCAGCTCAGTACTGCATTGCATGTGATACTTACTTTTGGTCTTCATTAACTTAAGCTACAGATGTTACACGCATATTCAAATTTAATGACTGTCCTAACATCAGCACAATTACACCCTGAAATTTAACACAATACTATGTCTTTTTTTTTTAGAAAACAGAATTATATGAATTATATAGAAGCTAAAATTGATTTAAACCGCTATGGGATCTCAGAATGGAAACTGATAGAGCTGAGAAATCCATTGATCTGAACACCTACTACATTGTATTGTATTTTAAATTGTCCAATCAGAGATTAAAAACAGTTTGCTAACTTTGGGGTGAGGTTATTCTTATTCTGGTGCTGTTACCTTATGTTGCCTCAGTGTTTAAAAAAGAAATAAATGATTGCCTTGAAGAGTGTAACAACAATTTCCTAGGAGAGCACAGTGGCCTGCTCTCCTGTACCAGCTTCCTCCTAAACTCTCATCTGTGCTATAGCACCAGGACTTGCGGTGGCCCTGCAAAGAAACTGCATTTAAAAATGCATTACTCAGCTGCAGCAAAGAGACTTTTCTAATACAAGCTTTTGCTTACTTTGCCTGCCGTGCTCATGTTGGCTGGTGTGCCCGTTTCAAATCTTGCCACCACTGGTTTCTTGCGCCAAGAATTCAGTCAGCTGCAAAGCATTCGGGTTGCTGATCCACCAGTCCTGTCCAATGCACTGGAAGCCGACCTTGCGAAGTGCTCCTGCAAGTGCACTGCTCTGAACTTTTAGCCAAGCCTCCCAGCTCAGAGTCCCACCCCTTCATCAGCCAAACCGCTTGAACGAAAATAAACCACCCATCTGCTGAAACCTCACTCTTTACTGTCCTTCTGTCTTCCAGATTCCTTTGTCATGCTCTTCCCCACCCTTTTCGCACCCCATCTATGGTTGCCCTCGACATCGCGGGAAGGAAGCAACAGCCCTGGCTGGAAGCTGTCCCCGCTTTCCACCTCCCTGGGAGGCTGCCCTCCAAACCCACTGCGCTCAGCGGCACTGTGGGTGCAAAGAGAAAAGGGGAGTGTGGCTCTTGAATTCACAGCAGTGACACTCGTACGAGCCCAGCTGATATATTAAAACATGCTATCGTGCAAGCTCCTTAAGAAACATAGGCTGGCTGGCTGCGGCTGTACCTGCTCCTGATTCCTTAGTTTTACAGTCCGGCTATTCATTAATCTGTTGGAACGGCTTTCCAGGGAACAGTGGCCAAGGACAATGTGCCAATCATGCTGATGCGAAAACAAAAATCAGTAAGTCAACAAGAAGTGCTGCAAGATGTGCATTTCTTACCATGTGCAACACCCTGCTCAATTTGTGAGTGGTTGCCCGACCCCCTCGGTTCCATCAACACCTGCAGGCGCAGGCCCCATCGCTGCTCATGCGCCCACGTGCCGCTCCTGGCACACTGACCTGGTGCGAGGGGTTAGGTTCTGAAATCAAGATTCTTTCCTTCAGAAACAAGCAATAAAGAAAGAAAATACTGCATATAACCTGACTAGTAATTACTAAGTACAGCACTCTCTCAGGTTTACCTGTATGACTGTAATTAATTTAAGAAGGGGTACAGGAAGAGGAAACAGGGTGAAATGCAATAGATGGATGTAACCTCAGGTGGGTACTTCAGGGACAGCGGGGCGTTCTAGCGGCCTCAGAGATGCAGCTCCCGCCTGCTGGGGATGTGAGCTGTGTTTGGCCACGGCTAGAAGAACAGGGGTCAAGAGCCCCTGCTAAACAGTTTCAAAGACCCAGAGAGCAAAAAGAAAAGTCTGACCTGAGGCTTCCTATGGGAAAAGACTAGCAGAGTCCACAGATGGTGACCTGTCCCCCATCTGGGGAGTGACAGGCCTTGGGGTATTTATCTGTACAGTCTGCTCCGCTCTTGAAACTAAGCTCCTCTCACCATCCCCTCCTAGACTTTTCCTAAAATCACAGAATCATAGAATGGTTTGGGTTGGAAAAGACCTTTAAGATCATCAAGTCCAACCATTAACCTAGCACTTCCATCACTAAACCATGGCCCTAAGCATCACATCTACACACCTTTTAAATACTTCCAGGGATGGGGTCTCAACCACTTCCCTGGGCAGCCCATTCCAATGCTTGACAACCCTTTCAGTGAAGACATTTTTCCTAATATCCAATCTAAACCTCCCCTGGTGCAACTTGAGGCCATTTCCCCCTGTCCTATTGCTTGTTACTTGGCAGAAGAGACCAACACCCACCTCGCTACAACCTCCTTTCAGGTAGTTGTAGAGGTCAAGAAGGTCTACCCCGAGCCTCCTTTTCTCCAGGCTAAACCACCCCAGTTCCCTCAGCCGCTCCTCAGAAGACTTGTGCTCCAGACCCTTCACCAGCTTCCTTGCCCTTCACTGGACACGCTTCAGCGTCTCAATGCCCTTCTTGTAGCGAGGGGCTCAAACCTGAACGCAGCATTTGAGGTGCAGCCTCACCAATGCCGAGTACAAGGGAGCAATCACTTCCCTGCTCCTGCTGGTCACACTATTTCTGATATAAGCTAGGATGCTGTTGGCTGCCTTGGCCACACTCGTATTCAGCCAGCTGACAACCAGTACCCCTAGATTCCTCTCTGCCAAGCAGCTCTCCATCCACTCATCCCCAAGCCTGTAGCATCGCATAGGGTTGTTGTGATCCAAGTGCAGGATCTGGCAGTTAGCCTTGTTGAACCTCATACAGTTGGTCTTGGCCCATCAATCCAGCCTGTCCAGGTCCCTCTGTAGAGCCTTCCTACCCTCAGGCAGATCAACACTCCCACCCAGCTTAGTGCCACCTGCAAACTTGCTCAGGGTACACTCAATCCCCTCATCCACATCATTGATAAAGATATTAAACAGACCTGGCCCTGATACTGAGCCCTGGGGAACACCGCTTGTGACCTGCCGCCAAATGGGTTTAACTCCATTCACCACCACTCTTCGGGCCCGGCCATCCAGCCAGTTTTTTACCCAGTGAAGAGTACAGAAGTGCAAGCCATGGGCAGCGAGTTTCTCCAGGAGAATGCTGTGGGAAACAGTGTCAAAGGCTTTACTAAAGTCCAGGTAGACAACATCCCCAGCCTTTCCCTAATCCACTGAGCAGGACACCTTGTCCTAGAATGAGATCAGGTTCCCCAAGCAGTACCTGCCTTTCATAAACCCATGCTGACTGGGCCTGATCACCTGATTGTCCTGTACGTGCCATGTGATGGCACTCAAGATGATCTGCTGCATGACCTTCCCTGGCACCGGGGCCTGATCACCTGATTGTCCTGTACGTGCCATGTGATGGCACTCAAGATGAGCTGCTGCATGACCTTCCCTGGCACCGAGGTCAGACTGACAGGGCTGTAGTTCCCCGGACCCTCCTTCTGGCCCTTCTGGTAGATGGATGTCATGCTTGCCAACTTCCAATCAACTGGGACCTCCCCGGTTAACCAGGACTGCTGATACAGGATGGGAAGTGGCTTGGTGAGCACTTCTGCCAGCTCCCTCAGTACCCTCAGGTGGATCCCATCCGGCCCCACAGACTTGTGTGTGCCTCAGTGGCGTAGCAGGTCAGTAACCATTTCCCC